CGGGCGTGTGTGTGTGCATGCCCAAGATCCCGAGAGGAGAATGGAGGAGAAGGGATTGCGGCATGGCCATCCCCTCTGGGGGTTGATTTCTCGCTTTCTGTCTCTCTGTCTCTCTCTGTATTTCTGACGAGTGCACGTGCACTATAGCAAAAAGCTCTAAAAAAAATAAATAAAAAAAAAACTGCTAAAGCTAAAAAAACTCAAAAAAATAATTTAAAAGCAATTGTGATATTTGCTTTTTTATTGTGTGTTAAAAACAAATGAACATTTATCTGTTTATTTGTTGTGATTCTTCAAGCCATCGGATCTGGACTCAAACTCTGGTTGCCCACATGGGAATCCAGCACCTTAACCACGGTGCCACCTGTTGGCCCTTGTTAATGAGTTTTAAGGGTTCTCCTCTATTCTAGATACAAATCCTTTATCAGATATATGTTTTGCTAATATCTATTCCCAGTCTGTGGTTTGTCTTTTCTCTATTTAGTTTGATTTTTTTTTTTTTTTTTTTTTGGCTATAGGGTAAATGTGCTGGCTAGAAAGAGAGAGGGGAAGAGAAAGGGGGAGAGAGGGAAAAAAAAATGACACAGCACCCTCTGAGGGGGGAAGGCCATGCCACAATCCCTTTGCCTCCATTCTCCTGTCAGTATGTGGGATTCAGCACCTTAACCACCACAACACTGGTCGGCTCACAAAAATAATTTTAATATTAAAATTCCAGTAATTTAGTCTTTTAGCTGAAATCTTTGTAAACAGACCCTATTCAAAATTCACAATATTAATCATGCATTTTATAATGTCTTGGTTATAAAATAAAATCTTAGTCCTTCCACATGGTAAAAATGAGAAAAGAATTTTATTAAAAAAAAAAACATTAAATCAGGCCAAAAGTAAGTATCACCTTTCATTTAATAATTTTATTATAACCTATAGACAAAATATACGTATTTACAGTGACTCAAATTCTACTATAAGTCACAACCCACTTACCTTGACAAAACTCATTCGAATGGTGCACATTTTGGTGAGCTCATATACTGCTTCAAACCCATGGTTGACAGATTGAGCCAGAAGCTGAGCAAACTCCTGATTGTTAAAAATTTTGAGGCTGCAACTGCTGGGAATCTTACAGACAGTGGTGGGATGAAAGCCATGATGAAAGTTGCAGTTCCTACTCTGTACAAATATGCTGCTGTCACTGAGGCACTCCGCATACACCTCACCGCCAACGTAGTACAGATGAACACCTTAAAAAGACAGGCATCACGAGAGTCAGTCTAACAAAGCACAATGACAGAGGCTGTGTGGTATAACTAAATACCCACTCTCCACAGCAAACGACCAACAATCTTTAAATAGAAGTTGCCACTAGATGGCATTCTGCTGCCAAAGATAATCAAGAGGTTGACGTCTGCCTATATCTAAAATGGTCCACAAATAACCAAGTTACACTTCAAGTTGGCAGCACATGCTGTCATCCATGTTCTCAGATTTATATCCCCCAGGGCCAGAGAGTGGTGTGGTGGTTAAGAAGCTAGATCCCATATGGCCAACTGTACAGTTCAAGTTCCAAACCCAGTGGCCTGAAAAACCCACTGAACACATGTGTATGCTGCCTAAAATATTGAAAGAAGAAATGGAAGAGCAGGGATTGTGGTGTGGTCATCTCCCCAGGGGGTATTTCTTGCTCCCTATTCAACCCCCCTCCCCTCCCCGCTGTAGTCTCTCTCCAACAAGCACACCTATAACTCATTTAAAATAAAAGTTTGTTTTGTTTTCAAAACAATTGTTTATCATCTCTGGGGGACAAAGAGAAGGCTTAAGATCCCCCCAAATCGCCTTTTGATGAGTCCTTTCAAAGGAATGCTTGGTGCTCTCAACTATCACAAACTATCAACTATCACAAAAAATTTGACAGTTTTATACAGTTTTTGAAAACAAAGAGGATACCAGCATTAAAAGAAATCCTGAAGTTATATACGTAATTTCAGGTTGAGGAAGTATGTCTATCTGTTTTAATTTCCATCTACACATGCATGAAAGACAGAGACAGACAGAGAGAACTCCCTAATGGGGAATGGTAATGCCACAATCCTTTTTTCCTCCATTTCTCCATCCCATGAGGATTGTGGACATGCACACCCCCAGCATGTTTTTTAAGTCCCTGGGATGAGGACCCCAATTGTGGCTGGCCACGTGGAATCTGGCTTTCTATACATAGCAGCTGCACTAAAGGGCCAGCTCAGGAAGAGCTGTTTAAATGGTAAATTTATTTTACATTAAAAAAAAATTTTCATATTCAAAAAATATAAATGAATGTGAAATAGTTTCAGAATTAAAATTCAAATTACACTGGGCCAGCAGGTCCTGTGGAGGTTAAGGTGGCTGGATCCCATATAGCTGACTGCATGGTTTGAATTCCAGACCCAGTGGCATGTAGGGGTGTGCCCCAAAATTGCAAGGAACTGCAGCATGGCCACTCCCCCTACACTTTTCCTTTCTCTGTCTATCTCTAGTGAGCACAGGCATCCTATAGCAATAAAATAATAATAATAATAAAATAAAATTCAAAGTACATAACTAAAGCTGAAGTCACCTAGTATTTTTCCAACATATCTCTAATCATTTCAAATTCATTTTTCCTCAGGAGTAGAAACTGCTAGCAATTTGGAGTATAACCTGTCAAATCTTTTTAACATGTACTTAATTACATATATATGATCCTACAAACATTTTTGTACATGTGTATGTATGTGTGTATGTATTTGTGTTTTTTTTTTTTTACATAAATGGCACTACACTCTATTAATCAGAAATTTACTTTTATAACAGATCTTAGATATTTTATTATGCTCTAAAACCTAAATCTACAACTTGTATGTATTCTAAATGCTGCAAATAATTCTACTGGGTTGTTGAGAAAGTCATGATGCATAGAAAAAAATAAGTCATGACTTTCCCACTTTAATAAAATGGACACAATTTATTTAACTATCTATGGATATTTTCACTATGTTTTACTGCTGCAATGTTTTCAGCGTCATCCCTGCACATACATACCACTACACACATGTGAGTCACAGACGCATATCGGGCTGATATTAAAAACTGTGTTCTGGAAACCAGCAGATGGTGTAATAATTATGTCACTTGGACTTCCACATAGTCAACTTTAGTTCGAGTCTCTGACCTAGTGGCTTAAAATTCATGCCAGGTGTGTGTGCCTGTATGCCCAAAATCCCAAGAGGAGAATGGAGAAGGGATTGCCACGTGGTCATCCTACCAAAAGGTGATTTCTCACTTTCTGTCTGTCTCTCTGGCAAACACACATACCCAATAGCAAAAACTCTTTCTTAAAAAAAAAAAAAAAAAGTGTTTGGTTTCTAAGCAAATAAAAATGACCCATAAAAGAAAGAGTCCTAGAATTTCACATTGAGGAAAAAAGGAAAAAACAATTCCAGAATATCAGAATTCCATAAATTACTTCTACTGTGGGGAGAGAAACAATACACAGAAATGAGATACTGTACCTTAAAAATTATGACAAGTTGACAGTAAAGTCAAAAGAAAATAAAAACTTTTGAACTCATTTTGACCCATAGTATTTTTCTTAAATCTCTTCTATTAGAAATCTCATCACAACAACATTTATTTACCTGCTGTTCCCATTCTAGACTAAGGCTCTCTCAATTTAAAGAAGCAAAGAGCAGGAGGTAAAAAATAAAACTTCTCAAGAAACAGGTAATACATTCTAACAGGTTGGGTTTCTGTCACCACCACTTGATACATGAGACTGTGACATTTCATATCGATGTGAAAATAACTTGTTTGTTGTGGAAAGTATCTGTCAAGATGAATTAAAAGAGGAACCAGCAGTTAGCATAATGGCTATGTCACTGGACTCCCACGTAGTCGACCGTGGTTTGCGTCTCGGACCCGTGGCTTAAAACTCATACCAGGTGCGTGTACGTGCGTGCCCAAGATCCCGAGAGGAGAATGGAGGAGAAGGGATTGCGGTGTGGCCATCCCCCCTGGGGGGTGATTTCTTGCTTTCTGTCTCTCTGTCTCTCTCTGTCTGTCTGGCGAGCACACATGCCCTATAGCAAAAACCTCTCCAAAAAAAAAAAGATGAATTAAAAGAGACCAGGAATGGTGGTGAAGCCAATGAAGATTTACATTATTCACAACGAACTTTCTATCTCTAACTCCACTCTTCCAACATCATAGGTAATTCTCACAAGTCATCTCGACCTCACACACTTCACAAATACCACAATTTTTGTATACTTCTAGCACCTTGTGCAATGCATGGTATATAACAAGTACAATAAATGACTGAATTCAATTGAACATAGAGAATGACTAGATTACCTTTTCCAATATGTCGCCTAGTATTTTCAATTGTAGAATTACGATTAACATTTGACAACAACCCCAAGCAGAATCTACTTTTGTTATTTGAAGGATCTGTGAATCCATCTACTAACACACTAGTAGAAGATGCGTGAAAAGCTTCCCCAACACGATTATTTAATTCGTAGTAGACAATCGAACACCAATGTTTGGGTTCTTCATAAGCGACAGGCTGAACATCTGTGAACAAATCAGACAAAAAAACTTTGATATATGATTATCCAGATTCTTTATGTGTTTATTTCTTAACCCAACCAAGCAATACATGTAAAAGAAAAGTTTTAGATATTTCACTTAAGTATCACTATCCTTACTGACTCTGAGTCTATATCCAAAAACAAACACTAGAATAAAGCTTGAAAGTGACAATTTAAAAAAACTGGAGGACTATAAAGAAAGGCAACTGTCTGAGGTTGCTCAGGTTGCTATAATAAAATACCATAGGACTTTCTGGCTTAAACAACAGAAACGTATTTGGTGTAGTAAAGGGCCCTCTTCCTTACTTACAGACAGTTATTTACTCACTGTGTACTCATATAGTCTTCCTTCATTGAGAAAAATCCATGTCTAATCCCATCATGAGAATCCCATATCTATACACCTAATTTCCTCCCTCCCAAAGACCCCATTTCCAAATACTATCACATTGGAGAGTAGGGCTTTAACATGAATCTGAGTGTGACACGATGCATCCAGTCCACTGGCATTTAACCTCATCACCCCAAATTCATGTTCTTCTCATTTGCAAAATACATACATTCCATCAACAATCCCAGAAGTCTTAATTCATTCCAGCCATCAACTGGAAGGTCTAAAGTCCAGTCTCAACCAAATCAGATATGAGTGAGTGAGTCTCAAGCATTCCTGAGACCAAATTCCTCTCCTGCTATAAACCTGTGAAACTAGGCAAGTTATGTGCTTCTAAAATAAAATGGTGGGACAGGCACAGGATAGATAATCCCATTCCAAAAAGGACATAGAAAAGCAGTGATGGTTCAGTAAGTCCTAAACCTAGTACAGCAAGTTCCATTAGACCATACAGTTGGAGAAAAATCCTCTTTGGTTTGAGGTTCTATCTTCTATGCCCACGACTTAGAGGGGCATCGCGCACTCCAAGGCTACCTGGAGGGGGAAGAGGGGATGGCCATGACTATGCTCTGACTAGCTGCCATGAGTGGCACCCTCACAGCTGCAAGAGACCCTGGCCCCATGACTTCAGGCAGAGGCCAGTTAACCTGCTAAAACTGAGACAGTGGTCTCTGGTAATCTCTGAATTACCTTCAGAGCCATTATTCTCTTTTTTCTTGTAGAATAACGGAAGTTTGAAGCCAAACAGCTTTATCATTCTGTTCTACAGATTCTAAGAAGACTGACAGCCTTCCTTCATTCCACTTGTGTCTTTCCCCTTCAATTAAAACTGTTAATGTTCCTGCTGGAGTGACTGGCCAGGTCCATGGTTTACACCCACACTATTCTCATTATCAAATGGCAGGTCAGCAAAACCCTTAGTATTTTCTTCTGAACAGCTTTGTCATTTTGTACAGTATGTACAGAATGATTCTTTTTGGCTCAACAATTCCTTCTTCCATTCATTTCTCTCTTCTCACATTTTATTCTGGGCAGTCAGGAGGAACAAGGCCACTCCTTCAACACTTTGCTTAGAAATCACTTCAACTAAATATCCAATTTCATGGCTGACGAGTTCTACCTTTCACAAAACACTAGAACCATGAACACAATTTTGCCAAGTTCCTTGAAACTTTATAACAAGGATAGCCTTTCTTTGTTTTCCAGCAACATGTTTCTTGCTTCTGAAACGTCACCAGAACTGTCCTAAATATATCCACATTTCTACTAAAATTCTATACAAGATTACTTAGGTATTTTCAAAGAAAACGAACTCTCTTTCTACATGTCTCTTCTTTTATTTTTGAGCCCCCATCAGAATCACCTGTAACAGCCCCTTTATAGCAGTATCAGCCTTTCCTAGCATGCACTTCAAAACTCTGCCAGCCTAGGGAACCAGCAGTTAGCATAATGGGTATGTCGCTGGACTCCCACATAGTCGACTGCGGTTCGCGTCCTGGACCCGGTGGCTTAAAACTCACACTGGGCACGTGTGCGTGCGTGCCCAAGATCCCGAGAGGAGAATGGAGAAGGGATTGTGGCGTGACCATCCCCCCTGGGGGGTGATTTCTTGCTTTCTGTCTCTATGTCTCTCTCTGTCTGTCTAGCGAGTGCACATGCCCTATAGCGAAAATCTCTCAAAAAAATCCCAAAAAAACAAAAAACCTCTGCCAGCCTATCCATTACCTAGTTCTAAAACCACTTTTACATTTTTAAGTATTTAGTAGAGCAGTATCCTACTCCATGGTACCAATATCTGTCTTGGTTGGTTCAGGCTACTACAACAAAATACCATAGACTGAATGGTTTAAATAACAGAAATTTATTTCTTACAGTGGCCAGCAGGTAGCATAAAAGTTATGGCAGCTAGATTCCACTGTGGTTCAAGTGCCGGACCCGACGTCTAGGAAAATATGCCAGGCATTTGTGCATGTATGCCCAAAGATCCCACGAGGAGAATGGAGGAGAGGGGCTGCAGTATGGCCATCTCCAGAAAGGGTGAGTTGTCTCTCTCTCTCGTGACTGCACATGCCCTATAGCAAATTTAAAAACAGTAATAAAATTAAATAACTTTTAAAAATAAATTGTTTTACTGGCAGAATCTAATTCTGATTTATATTTGAGATTTAAACTACTTTTTCAACAATCTAAAAGACTTAATATTATCAGTAAATGTAAAATTATTCTAAATAAAGTTAATCTAAAAAACTGAGAGCCTCAACAAATTAGGGATGAAGGGGAGCTTCCTAAACTTTATAAAGAACATCTACAGAAAATTTACAGCTAACACATACTTGATGATGACAAACTAGGTTTCCCACTAAGATTAGCAACAAGGCAAGAACAATCTCCTCTTACCCACTCCTTTACAACACTGTCCTGTAAGTCCTAATGCAGTTAAGACAAGGTAACACAAAAAGATTCAAACTGTAGTAGGCCATGTGGGAGTCCAGCATCTTAACCACCATGCAACCTGCTGGCCCTTTAAAAACAATTTTTAAAGCCAAAGATAAGCAGCTCCATGGTTCGGCAATAATGTACTGCTCAAGAGAAGCTGGGTCCTGGGACCAGTAGTTAGCGTAATGGCTATGTCGCTGGACTTCCATGTAGTTGACCAAGGTTCGAGTCCCGAACCCAGTGGCTTAAAACTCACACCGGGCACATGTATGTGCATGCTCCAAGATACCGGGAGGAGAAGGGCTTGAGGCATGGCCATCCCCCCCAAGGGGTGATTTTTCGCTTTCTGTCTCTCTGTCTCTCTCTGTCTGGCGAGTGCACATGTCCTATAGCAAAAACCTCTCCAAAAAAAAAAAAAGAGAGAGAGAAGCTGGGTCCCATTCTTGTGACTGCAGTTTGAAACCCTGGCCTGGTCAACCTGAAGTCTGTGAAGCACAAATGTGTGCCCGAGACCTGGTGGGCTGCAGGAAGGGAATCATGGTGTGAATAGACCCTGTGGAAGGTGTTTCTCTCTCTCTCTCTCAATGTCTTTCGCATGCACATACACATACTCTGTCTTGAATAAAGAAAAAAGACAAAGGTAAAAAAACATGAAAGAATAAATTTAAAGTGGTCACCTAGTCTATGTAGGCAGTACAAAAGAGCTAATTAACTTAAAAAAAAAACATGTACTATACACACACACACACACGTACACACACACACATATAGTTAAATTTTCAAAACCCAATTCTGAATACAACTGCAAAAAAAAAAAATCAGATGAGGAGAATCAGAGGAAAATAAACCAATGTGGACTAACAGACGAGCCCTAAGAATGTAAATTTTAAAGGAGTTTATATCCCCTCTCCTCCTCCCAACCCTCCCAACCCTCCCAACCCAGGAGAGGCAAAAGAGCAAGCCTCAGAAGACATCTTCATGGTTCCTGAGAACTAGTGATCTGCGAAGCATACTGCACAGTTTTCTTATTTTTGCTATTTTAAGAAAAAATAATAATTTTTAGGTTTTTTTTAAAATTTTTTTCTTCTCTTTTTCTCTGTTTCTTGGTTGTTTTTGTTGCTGCTGTTTCTCTCTCTGTGTTTCCTTTCCTGCATGCTCCTGTACGCCCAGATTGTACTTCAAGTTTGGGAAGAAACACACTTTCCATCAGGTGACTAGAAATCACCGCAGGACCACAAGAAATATGGGAAAGCAAGAAAATACCTCTCCTCCAAGGGAAAAGAATAAGTCCTCTTCATCTACAGACAGTACAACATATTAACTCCAATATAACTATCATCCCTTTTTATTTCATATCTGGGGAACCTTAGGCATACAGATTTGAAAAGCACAAAGCAAATAAGTTGAGAAACAGGAATTCAAGTCTAGAAATTGGTGTTCTAAGATATATTCTGTAAATAACAGCAGATTCTATGAAGTACAGTCAAATAGTCATAGTAAAATTCCTGGGTGAATTCAGGACTTTAAAAAGCAAAGACAGTATTCAAATGTTCACAAAATCATGCTCATAACTGTTCTTCAGAACAAGGGCACTCACATGACATCCAGTATCATCACAAGCACATATGAAAGAAACAAAAAAACGCAGTAGAAAGAAACATATAAAACGGCAGTACTTTACTTCTAAACTTGTGACAAAGTAAAGAGCTTAAGGCCTCAAAACAAAGTGGTCTTAAAACCACGATGTACCATAAAGATATACAATTCTTCCCTTACTGATTAAAAAGACAAAAGAAAATCCACAATCGGATACAATTTCACACTTATTAAGATGATCATTTTTCAAAAGACAGAATGTAAGTGCTGGCGCAGATGTGAAAGGAACCGGAACCTTAAGCACTTGCTGGTAGAAATGTGCTGGTGCAGCTGCTGTGTACAACAGTTTGGTGGTTCCTCAAAAAGTTTAACACATATTCTTCAACACAGTACTGGATGTCCGAGCTAGAACAATTAGACAAAAGAAACAAAGGGTGTCCAGATTGGAAAGGAGGAAGTCAAACCGTCTGTAAACGATATAACCTTATACATATTTGAAAAAAAAAAAGGAGGGGGGAATCAGTAGATGGCATAGCAGTTATGTCGCTGGACTCTCACAT